CACGCACGCACGCACACACGCACGCACGCACGCACGCACGCACGCACGCACGCACGCACGCACGCACGCACTCACGCACACATACATCAAGATATATGAATCTGATCCCATATATGGAGAATATTGAAAGGATACTGAACAAAAAAAGTCAATTCATTCGAACTTAAAAAATTGGATTCAAATTTTATTTCGTTCAGAATTTTATTATGTTCGAAATTGTATTACTTTACTAATTATCACGTATAAATTCCTCTATAATTAAAAAGCAAACTGTGATTAAAGATATTTTTCAATCCAATTAAATCTAAATCTGTTCATTTTTCATGATTGTACTTATGGAGGTCGGCATACATCTTATAATCTACACAATATTATAATTTCAATGTCAATTTGACTGAAAGAATTTTTCTATAAGATTAGTGCGAAGTTCTTTAATTCATGATACTACAGTAACAACAATTAATAAAAATCTCTAAAAAAGAATTAGACATTTCGAAAATTAATGAATAATAATTAAAAATTAAAAAACAAATTAAGAAAATAATTAATATTAAATTATTCTAAAAATTATATAAAAAGCAATAAGTAATAAAACGTCGCTAACAAACTGAGAACTTAAACTACCGCTCGTAAAATATATAAGTGACTTCTTATGATGTTTGGACTTTAAGAGAGATAAATGAACATTAAACTAGGAAATACGTTTGTTTGAACGTAGTGAAACGATAGGGTGCCCATTCTGCGTGCCAACGTGACAAGCTTAATCACCTTATATCAGTTTAGAAATGTTATGTGTTATTTGTCGCAATGTCATGATTTAAATAATTAACTACTGCTATTTTGTGACTAAAACAATATAGTTTCTTATTGTACAATTTATTGCAAATTTAATATTAAAAAAATTAAAAGATAAAAAAAAATTAAAAGATAATTAAAATAAAATTCTTAAATAAGATATCGATTTAAATAAGAAATTTTATCGAAAGTTTATAAATCTATATTATTAATTGCATTTATTAAAATATGAAAATTTCGTAAATATTTATGTGATCATTCAAAGATATAATTTTCTTTTGTATTTCTTAAAGGTGATTTCTTCAACATTTCTTCACAAATAATAAATAAAACTCTTTTTGAAACGTATATAAGAATTCAGAAAACTCATTTTGAAACGTATATAAGAATTCAATGTCCAAAGTGACTTACAAAAGACTTACAACATGAGAGTAAACTAAAATAACAATTATCTTCTTAAGAAAGGATTACGTATAAATCAAGCAAGGATGAAAAAATATCACCATAATATACATCAATTAGCCAGTGGTTTACACTGTTAGTGGTCATTTTTACAGGCATAAAACCAACATATCAATCTCGCAGATAATAACGATAATACCTGCAGAATTACTATCTTGCGGACAACTTGCAC